CCCCCCTGCTTCTTCTGGCCACGAACTTATGTCTGTACAGTGTATATACAGTGTATATATACAGTGTATATATATACATATGCACTTAATTAACAATCAATAGAGGATTTCATGGGCGAAGATGAGTTACTTGTCGTTGTTCCATCAGGGTTTGAACTCGAGACTTGTAGAACGAATAGCGTCTGCACCGGACAGCTTAAGAACGACCAGATACTTCATAGGTTGCTCGCTGATAACGTGATGATGGAGTGTAACTGTTCAAATGCCAGGTCAAGCGACAGATGAGCCACCTGTCATCCATCCCCCGAATAGAACGTACGGTCACTATCGCTGTACCCGGACTCAATGTTGCCCCAAATACATTCTTTAGCGGCCGCACGTTCTCTTCGGGGGAAAACGGGTAGATGACGACAAGAAAACAATGATGAGGAGACCAAGTGAGAGAGAGAGAGAGAGAAAGAGAGAGAAAGAGAGAGAGAAAGAATAAAGTGCGGGGAGAGAAAGAAGAAGAAAGAAGCACTAACAAGAGAGAGAGAGAGAGGGAGGGAGGGAGAGCGAGGTGGGTTAGGGTCGTGACCAACGATTCTTTCTTCGTTGTTAGGAAATTAAATCCCCAAGAGAGATGCCGACAGACCCACCCACCCAGACCGAGCACAGTCGGCATTGATTATTACCTCCACCTTCTCCCCGACGACTAGCCGAAAGGGGCCCGAGGCCTCCATCGATGCTCCTCGCAGTCTGACCTTCATTCTTGACAGGCTGCCACGTGGCGATGTAAGATGATGTGATGCGGATGCCTAGGATGATGATGATGATGATGAGCTGTGATGACAACGATGATGACAAACAGGACGACGACGGCCGTCACGTGCCCGTCCTCTTCGACTTTGCTGTTAATTAGTCTCTCCACTGACCTTCCCGTGCGAGAACCTCAGGAACAAACCCCTCACTCCATCTCTCCAAACCCCCTCCCTTCTCTCTCGCCGATGACAAGTGAGCTGTGTGTGCGATATACCCCTGATCACCGCTCATGACCGAGGAGAGACCAGATGGGGGAGGAGGTTTTGAGAGATGGCATAGGATAAGCAGGAAGACTTTAAGGAGGAGGAAGAGAAGGAGGAGAAAGAGGAGAAGGAGGAGAAGGAGGAGGAGGAGGAATAAAAGGAAGAGAAGAGCTTGGCTTTCGTCCGCAACATCCCTAAAGCAATGCCACGTGGCGCTTCTCCACGCTTTAAGAATGAAGAGGAGGACGGTGATAAGAAGGAGAAGAACCCGGCAGAGCAGATCCCGATCCCACCCATCCTCCTCCTCCTCCTCTCTCTCTCTCTCTCTCTCTCTCTCTCTCTCTCTCTCTCTCTCTCTCTCTCTCTCTCTCTCTCTCTCTCTCT